GGACACACTTTTAATCCCAGCATTCCAAAAGGCAGAGACAGGGGGATCATCGTGACTTTGAGGCCAGCTTGCAGCCTGTGTTAATAATGACTTAAGGCAACCTGGGCAACATAATGAGGTCCCGTCTACACACACACACACACACACACACACACACACACACACACACACACACTTTAAAATGAGGGGGAAATGTCAAATTTTAGCACAGCTGAACCTACGAGGATGCCTAAAGGAAAGCCTGTGGTAAGGAGAAAGTGCATGTGCTCTGCTGTCCTCTGGGACATGGAAGTAAGGCACAGAACGGCTGTGAAAATCAGACGGGGCAGTTATCTGCCTGGCTGCCAGCAAGTCACAGCTACGCAGCCCACGGACCTGAATCCTGTGTCTGTATGCAGGTGAGGCCGAGACAGTAAGCGTTACGCAGAGGAGATGATGAGCGGCTTCCCGGAGGAAAGGATTTCGGATGGTAGTTTTGGAGGGAGAGAAGGAAATGGACTGAAGGGGGGGCGCACCACAGGTGGGGGCTGGTGCTGTGCAGAAGCACGGAGGCGGAAAGGAGCCGTCGTCGTGGAGAGATGGCAAAATTAGTGTGCCTATGGCACCAAGTCCATATATGGGAGAAGAAGTCAGTGTCTTCCATCTCATGCAAATATCCATTTAAATTTCACAGGAAGATCCAGAATTGTAACTTCTTCTTCTAGGGGATGCTACATTATGTAGGAGAGCAGGATATTCAACTGGGAGAGAGCTCTTCCTGTTGAAAAAAACAATGTGAATGTCCATATCCACCAGTTTCACGCTCTTGGATGTCAGCCATAGCCTTCTCTAGAGCAAAAATAATGATCAACTGTAATAATAGATACACAGCATATGGACCTGCTGTGCATCCGTCACCATGCGCTTCAGAATTTTTGAAAGCCTTTACATTTTTCAGAATCTCCATTCAGTTCATTTGGAAATCAACATGAAAAAAACTCTCCCCAGAAAACTATTCAGGCATGGTGGCACATGCCTGAAATCCCAGCATTGAGACAGAAGAAGGATCAGGAGTTTAAGGCCACAAACTCCTTTTCTTACATAGAAAACTCAAGGAAAGTCTAAGCTACAGGATACCTTGTTTACACATAAATAAGAATCAAAAACTAAATAAAGCAATAATCTCATCACATCACAACTGTATTTCAGAAACCCAAGGGATTTTATGGTTTTGGAGCAGAGTTTTTTGTTTTTGTTTTGGAGGGTGTTTTTTGTTTGGGGTGTGTTTGTGTGTGTGTGTGTGTGTGTGTGTGTGTGTGTGTGTGTGTGTGTGTGTGTGTGAAGATTTGAGACAGTATTGCTACATATCCCACACTGACTTTAAACTCATCATGTAGCCCAAGCTGACCTGGATTTCTCAGAGATTCACCTGCCTCAATGACCCAAGAGCTGGAATTATAGTGTGAGTAAAATAATGTAAAAAAAATAAGTATTTTTGTATTAATATATTTTAATGATTACTTCTCAATCATGGACATGTTCAAATGTAGAACTGACAAAAGAATACAGAATTGTTCTTCTTACAATACTCAAACTAGCAGATCTTCATTAGGATTCTGTACATGTAATAGTGATTCTTTTCTACATTGTATATACAAAGGGTCCTTTTTAAAGTCTTGTTTCTTCAAAAGGACAGCTACAATACCTAGTTAAAAGTTGGAGCCATTTCATTCTCCGCAGAAGAGAACTGTGTGCTGAGAAAATGAGACACACAATGAGCACTAACTTTAAAGATCAATAACTCTGACCCTTCGACAGAGCAGGAAACAAGGGTGCAAGTTAGGCTCTGTGCTGGCTTCCTGTCACCTTGGACAAGCTACGGTCACCGGAGAGGGGGCAAAGGGGCAAGGTAGGCTCCGTGCTGGCCTCCTGTCACCTTGGACAAGCTACGGTCACCGGAGAGGGGGCAAAGGGGCAAGGTAGGCTCCGTGCTGGCCTCCTGTGACCTTGAACAAGCTACGGTCACCGGAGGGGGAAGCCTCTGTCAGAAACGCCTCCAGAAGATGGGAGCGAACACACGAAAGGGCATTTTCTTAATTCGTGGTTGGTGGGGTTCTACCTCCACCACCAAAACAAACACCAGAGAGAAGAACGAACGGATGGACGGACAGACGGACGGAACAGAGCACGTGAGTGGGCACGGAGCTTGCGCACAAGAAAGATGGGAGACAACTCAGTGGATGAAGGCATTTGTTGTCAGCCCCGGCCAGGCCCCCCATGACAGGAGAAAACCACTCCTGCAAGGAATCCTCCGGCCTTAGCATGTGCACTAATGTGCACATGCATACACGTGAAAAAAAGAAACGTACAAGAAAAACTGAAAACAGAGACAAAAACGTAAGAGCATTCAAAGATGAAAAATTGTGGGAAGTAAAATCAACAATTTACCATAAAAAGGCAAGAAACCAAAACCAGCCTTTTGTTTGTTTCAGTGTTTGAGTAGTCCAGGCTGACTTCAAAATCCCCACACAGCCAAGCATGACCCGACATCCTCATCCTCCTGTCGCCATAATGCTCCCAAGTGCTAAGATTATAGGTATGTACCCCCGCCCTCAGCCCCAAAGTTACGTTTACTAACCATAATCAATAATTAATAACAATAAACTAGCAATGGTATTCAAAAACAACACCTTCACCCAGCAATTCTTTTTTTTTTTTTTTTTTTTTTTTTTTTTGGTTTTTCGAGACAGGGTTTCTCTGCGTAGCTTTGCGCCTTTCCTGGAACTCACTTGGTAGCCCAGGCTGGCCTCGAACTCACAGAGATCCGCCTGGCTCTGCCTCCCGAGTGCTGGGATTAAAGGCGTGCGCCACCACCGCCCAGCCACCCAGCAATTCTTAAAGCTAAGACTGCTTTCCCAGGCAAGCTTACAAAACAATGTTAAGGCAGAAACCAAAGACTGGGAAGCACACTCCTGGCTTTCTTTCCATCAGCGGTTCCTATGCCTGGACCCACCCTGCTTTCCCAAGGCACTCACTGTGAGAAGATGGCATAATTCTCAAGAAAAAAAAAAATAGTTGAGCAGATCAGAGATGGAACTAGTCTGACCTTCCAAGAGCAGTCAGTGATACAATCATATTCTCAACACCTCCCCAAAAGCATGATTGGAATTTTCAATCAAAAATATATTCAAGGTTAGTATAGCAGTGCATGGCTATAATCCCAGCATCTGGGAGGTAGAAGCAGGGGGATTAGAAGTTCAAGGCCAGCCTAGACTATCCAAAATAATGCCCCCCACCCCCAGTGTCTGTCTGTCTGTCTGTCTGTCTGTCTGTCTGTCTGTCTCTCTCTCTCTCTCTCTCACACACACACACACACCACCTACCATAAGTTTCAATGAAGCTACTTTTTCCCATTTGAGGTCATTGTTACGTTAAAAGTAGCAGATCCACCTACTGGGTACACTAGAAGTCGCCGTTTTGAATCCTGTTCATCTTGTTTCTGACATCCACTCTGCCCCCTTCTCCTCTGCACCATCATTTTTAACTTGCCAAGAGTCTATCCCTGTAAGTGTTCACAGCTGGATTGAGATAATCACTTTCTATATATAATGCAAAGCCTGCTCTTTAAAGCCCTAGCCTTCCTCAATAGCATTTTAGGGCAATTAGGAAACTTCAAATCAACCCTTCAACACCATTTATTTTACAGATGAAGAAACCAAGCACAGAGTGACTATGGCATCTGCCTAAACCATAGGGCAGGAGGCCAGGCCTTAGTCTCTTCAGTACTGAGCTAATGTTTTAAGACAAAAATCAGTACGAGGACTTACTAAGAATTAAAACTGATTGGTGGAAAACTGAAAACTAGCATTATAACACTGCTCTGGCTCTGGTCTAAAATATTCCACATACAAACATGGAGATGCATTTGCTGTGTTCTCAGAAAGAGAGAACAGGGGAGAAGACCAACTGGGACTCCTCCGACTCTTTCAGACAATGAAGAGTCTGGTGGTCAAAGACCAGAGTCTCCATAGCTACTGGATGTTCCACTGCGTGCGTGCGTGCGTGCGTGCGTGCGTGCGTGCGTGCGTGCGTGCGTGCGTGCGTGCGTGCGTGCGTGCGTGCGTGCGTGCGTGCGTGCTGGGACAGAACCGAATCTATTCCCTTGAAGAAAACCTGCTGGTCGTGCTGCTGCACACCATTAATCCCAGCACTCGGGGCAGAGGGAGGGGCAGAGGCCAGCAGGTCCTGGGCCCGGTTTTCAAAGAGATACCGTGATACCGTTTCAAAAAGGGGTGTGTGTGGGTGTGTGTGTGGGGG